ATAATCAGGTTACTTCAAAAATAGCACATGACTGTTGAGCACCATCTGTTTCACCCTAAGGTTGGAAATCTTTGGTAGTTCTGTTTGTTCTTGATGACATGAAAATATTATTAACAAATTTCATGGACATAAGTATGATGGTCTCTAAATAACGCTAAGTATACAAAGTGATTTTGAAATTAACATATTTTGGTTTGCATCTTTGTAGGATGTTGATTATGAGGCTACCTTGACTACCAAACTTGCTATTGCGAATAAAGTATTTGCTCAAGAGAAGGATTTGATTCTTAATTCCAGTTCCTTCGAGAAATTTTTTTCTGAGAATCAGGTTACATAGTTTAACTTCTTCTTGCTATTATAATAATATTTGCATATTTTAGAAGTTTTCGGCTTCCCTTTTCAACTTGAAGTGCTAAGATTTTCTCTATTGATCATTGTTTATAGGATTGGCTAAAACCCTATGCTGCCTTCTGTTTTTTACGGGACTTCTTTGAAACATCAGATCACAGTCAATGGGGTCGGTTTTCTCATTTTTCAAAAGAAAAGGTGATCACCCTTCTTTGTGTGGACTTTTTTTTTTCCTTTGTCAACTGTGTGGTACTTCCTTTCATATATATTGCTAATTAGTTCAAAATTTGAGTTCTGATTATATAGATATTATAATATTAAAGCTCTAACGTTCGGCTTTCTCTTTCTGACAGCTAGAGAAACTCGTCTCCAAAGACAGCTGTCACTATGACATAATCTGCTTCCATTATTATATCCAATTTCATTTGTATGGACAAGTAAGTAGTATTTATTCTAACTACTAGCAACATCTGCACGTTCTGTTATTATATCCAATTTCACTGTGGCATCCATTGTTGATTTCTTTGGTGATTTCATGAACGGCAGCTGTCAGAAGCTGCAGATTATGCAAGAAGGAAAGGTGTAATATTGAAAGGAGATCTACCTATTGGTGTTGACAGAAACAGTGTGGATACCTGGGTCAATCCAAATTTGTTCCGCATGAACACATCCACTGGAGCTCCTCCAGATTATTTTGATAAAAATGGGCAGAATTGGGGTTTCCCTACCTACAATTGGGAGGAGATGTCGAAAGACAACTATGCATGGTGGCGTGCTCGTTTGACACAGGTTTTTCTTGCTAGATTTCCCTAGTATTCCTTCTTTATTGTACCTTTTTTGTTGCTTGCATTTTAGATAAATATCTTTCTATGTTTATATGACAGATGGCAAAATACTTTACCGCTTACAGAATTGATCACATTTTGGGTTTCTTTCGTATCTGGGAGCTCCCAGAACATGCCATGACTGGGCTTGTTGGGAAATTTCGACCTTCCATTCCACTAAGTCAGGTAGACTTGTTAGTCAAATATCATTTGGCAAGATGAGACAATGGCTACAACATTGTGACTTGTTATCAAGGATTAATTTTTCTTCATTTTCAAAGTTAGTTCACAAAAATTAATCCTTCTGTTGTAGGAGGAACTTGAAAGAGAGGGCATATGGGATTTTGATCGCTTGAGTCGCCCATATATTCTGCAGGAATATTTACAGGTAACCAAGTCTTCCTAGTCATCTATAATTTACTTCTCCTAATGTATTATCAACTTATTACAGATTTGCAGCTGAACTATGATGATTTTATCGTACTTTTGTAAGCTTTGTTGTCTTTTATTCTTGTCTTTATTGATCCCTTTTGTGTTCTATAAATTTTACTTTCTTGTTTCAGGATAAATTTGGAGCTTCATGGACTTTTATTGCCTCAAATTTTCTAAATGAATATCAGAAGAACCATTATGAGGTGAAAATTATTGGTTAATCTTGGAGATTTTTATCTGCTTTTTCATTAATAACCATTAATCACTCACTAATGATCATGGAAATCACTCACTAATGATCTTGGATGAGATTTCTTCCCTATTCTGAACTTGTATGCGCTGTAGATGCACCTGAAGAAATATGGACAACTTCATCGATGTTGTTGATAAAGAATGTTTGATTACCTCTATTCCCAAATTTGAAGTTGTTAGGATGTAGGCTAACAATACTTTTATATTCTAACACTCCTTACATGCGTCTCTCTCCCCATTAGAGCTTAAACTTATGGAATTGAATTTATAGTGGGAGTGTGGCTATTGTAGGATTCCAACTCATGACCTCTTGCCTTGATGTCTGATGTGAAATATGCTAACACTCAAATGAAAACCCTGGGAGTGTAGTATATGAAAGTAGGGATCGTTTTAGGCCGGAGATTAGAAGGGATGCTAATCTACTCTAAACTGACTTAAAAAAACACAAACTACACTTAAAAACACTTAACTAGACTTATATGACTCAAACAAACTAAAACGACTCAAAACACAAAACTAAGTCAAATTGACTCGAAACGGACTCTAAGAAGTTATTTGGACGAATTTTAGACTATTAAGACTCAAAACACTAAATTGGACAGATTTGAACACGTTTCTAACTAATCTAACACACTTAATTAAAGGGGAGATTGATTTGGACGAAATTAAAGTAAAAACAAACAGATTTAAAGACTTAAAACAACTTGGACGAAATTGGGGAAAAATATGGGTGATAAGCTAGCTAGAGGGTCATTCTCCACACATGACACACTTGCGTACAAATTAATTTCCAGTTGCTTTTCCAATAAACCATTAACTTCAACACCCCAGATTAACAATGAACAGCACGAATTAACCCTCAGATTTTCCTTAAGTCATTGAATTGGATAGAATACGCATCGACAACCAAATTATTCTTCAATAGTTCCCTACATGAACAACATAATAGAGATACAATCAAATATCATTAAGTTTTGTGAAAATCATAAGCATTGACAAGGTATTCGTAACTATGAACAGCATGATACTTCCTGCTAGGAATTTACTTAACACGATTGTGACTAGCAACCTCTACTACTTATAAATATAAGTTCATAACGATTAGGTGAAACTCCCTTATATTTTAGCATCAAATTCATGCATGCAAACTAAGCGGGCCCTCTTAATCAACACACAAGAATAAATTCTTAATCAAGCAGTTAAGTAAATTATATTCACGATTTATGAAATCACAACTGAAAGTAATCAATTCATATTGCAAATATAATCATGGTTTCAAAGTCTCCTCTAGCTAAAACAAGTTTAGCTCCTCATGTTCGCAAAACAAAGATAATTAATCTTAAACATTAAAAACAAAGATAGAATACACCTAGAAACATTTCAGGCGGCTCCTCCTTCCTTCCTTGCTACCAACAATGGGGATTTGTGTGAATTTATGCTCTTGAGGTGTGGTGGATGGTGTGGTGTGAATTTGTGGTAGAGGGTGGTGGTTTTTGTGGCAGATTCTAGAACTTCTAGAAGGGTTACATGTGACATAAACTTAATGCACGAAAATAGGGCTTCTAGAACTTGATATTTAGGTGATTTAACGTGAAAAGGAGTCCTCTTTGAAGTTGGAATTAAGGTAGGAAAAGATTAGGATAGGATAAGATAAGATAAGGTTGGATAAGGTGTGGATAAGATAAAAAAATTTGGATAAGGTTCCTTATTTCTTGCTCTTTCCTTATCTTCTTTGCATTTGGACTTCTTTCTCCAGATTTTTAGCCTTTCCTAGCATCTCTTGAATTCAATTTCGTCCATCCACATTGCTCCATAGTTAAGCTATCCAATCTATGCCCAAAACTGCTCCAAATAGCCCCAAAATGCACTTTCTTGCTCCTTTTGCCATTAGGACCTAAAAACATACGAAAATAGCTTAAAAGACTAAAATAGATAGTAATTAAGTAACTAAATGCAAGGAAACAACATAACTGAGTAGCATAAATATGCTCCTATCAAATTCCCCCACACTTAGCTTTTGCTAGTCCTCGAGCAAAATGAAATAAATAAAACAAACAAAACACAATCTAGACCTTCCAACAATTGCCTCAGGGATTTCCAATGCAACATGACATATTAAAGATTACCACTCACATAGATTTTAGTTATCCCTACCCTCGAGCATATACTTAACCATAGTTACCACACACTAGCTCGCATTTAATCAATTAAAACATGATTTTGAATGTAGTAACATACCTTAGAGAATTCCCTCAATTCCTCATTGGATATACTCTCTATTTTCACATAGATTTTCTGATTACTCCCTACACTAGGTATATGTGAGAAAATTGATGTAAACATGTGGACTAATACTCACATATATATAATCAAAGAAGGCACTTTCTGGAATTATTAACATGTATATGATCTCATGAATGGAATGCCACTACTTAGACGCGAGAATCAAGGATGCCATATACTCAAACCAATTTTAAACTCCACATATTGAAACATATAACAATCAAGATCGAAGTCTTAAGGGTTGTAACGGGGCTAGGGTATTGGCTAACAAAGAAAGGTAAGGATAAACAAAAGTTCTTAAAGCAATAGTAAGCAAAGTAATGAAATAAACACTTAGAATTCACTTTTGAATGCAGAAATCAACTTTGAACACCAAGGGAAACTTCACACAAAACTCAGGGTCAAATTCAAACTTTTGGACCCTTTCTTCAACAATCAACACTTGTGAGTTCATTCTCACTTATTTTCAACTCCTTTTTCTTTCTTTTCTTTCTTTTTCACATTTGTTTTTTTTTTCTTTTTTTTCGTGCTCTATTCTTTTCTTTGGCACATTAATCATCCATTCCTCTAGATTCCCACTAAAATCCTTCCCCAACACTTGTTTTTCTGCAAATTGTAGAACAAAAGGAATTCCCTCTAAGTTATGCTTTACTATACTGTAAGAACAAGGGTATGGATAGTCCTATTCTAGGCTAGGTAAAGACAATATGGTTAATAAAGAAAATTAGGTTAACTAAGGCTCAAAGGGGTTAACATACAATACATATGCAAAGGGTAAGGTTTTTTGGCTCTCGTTTTAACTAAACAACTTCATCTTATTTTATGTTATGCACTCAATTTTATGCTTTGAATGAAATGGACATGAGTTCTAGTATTTGGAACTATAGTGATGAAACGCATTCTAAGTAGCAACCAAGCAAAGAATAATGAGATCATGCAACGACTTAGAAAACAAGAAATCAAGATTAATAACTCTTCAAATAAAGTTTAGGTTCAAGTCTCTCAGGGTTGTAGCGTTAGTTTGAGTTTCTTCCTTCAAGCATGTTACAAAAACTTAGTTTTTTTCTTTTGTGGTTACATGTGAATTCGTAAATGTCAACTACCACTAAGCATAAACCAAAGAGCATATCAAACTTCCATCCATGTTTGTAACTTTCTTCAATAGTCATGCAATTAAAAACCAAATCCTCATCATTGTGTTAGAAGGTATCCTAAGACACAAACAAAAACGACTCTCAAAACAATTCTTTTTGGGTTTTTAAAACACTTTTTCGAATTTTTTTTTTTTTTTTTCAAATTTTTGGATTTTCTGTTTAAGACACATGCAAACACTTCAAAACACACTAAAAACACTTAAAAACAGTGAGAAACAACTTTAGAAGTGATAGGTGATAAAATCCCATGAAAATCATGCAAAAACACTTTGTTTACCCCCTGCACTTAAACCAAACATTGTCCTCAATGTTTTAAGTATAGACTCACAAACAAATAACCACATAATACAACTAACAAACACGACAATCATGGCAAAGTAAAAGCAATAAAGAGTAGGGTTTAGGAACGCAAATCTGGTTATGGAGTGTTGGAGATTCCTAGGTCTTCTTTATTTGCATGCATAGGTTGCCTCCCAAGAAGCGCTTGCTTTAACGTCTTCCAGCCGGACGATACCTCCTTTTAAGCTCCCCTAGGTCTCATGGCATGAAATTGATCTTTGAATGGGAGGTGATACTTGAGATGATCCGGTAATGGTTTAAATTCTAGAGTGGGTGCCTGAATCATTAACAACATATTAGTATAAAACAAAATTGAAATTCGGGGAGGTGGCTTACCTGTGTGCTCCGACATAAAGTCAAGAATAAACACCCCTTCGAAAGTTGTAGGACTAGAAAATTCAGCTAGATTTGGTGTTTTGAGAGTTATGACTTATCCTGTGTCATAAAATCCAATTTCTTTGCGAATTATTGTCTCAAGTATATCCTCTTTGATGAATTCTAGACATTCCCCAGCCACATCTTGCTCTTGATTCTTTGGAAAGGATTCGAAGATGCATTTCTCACCCTCTGCTTCCTTGGATTGCATGATCCTGTAAGGAATAGGGACATTTGGTGGAACGGGGTTAGAAATAATTAAATTTGGAACAACCTTAACCTATGGTGGACGAATTGGGGTCTTGAGGTGGCTGCGGCAAGGGTGGTTCTACCCTTGCCGTGGCTTTGTCCAACTCCTCTTCCTCAAATTGCAATCTTTAATCTTCCTTGTGATTTGATTTTGATGGTTGAGGGTCCGTTCCAACCTTCTTGCCACTTTTCAAGATGATTGCCTTGGTAGTTTCAAATCTTCCTTTCGGATTTGCAATGGTTGAACTAGGGAGTTTGCCTTGGTCTTGAAACTGTCCTACGAACTCCGCTATCTGCCCAATTTGCTTTTCCAAGTGGTCCAACCTTTTGTCTTGATTTTACATTGCTTTGTTTTGATTTTCTTGCCCCTGAGAAAAATTGGTGAGTAACTTAATAAGCGTATCATTATACAAAGACGTACTTGAATTTGTTTGGGCAGGTTGTGGTGGCTGCATAGGTGTTGTATAGAACTCCTCATATAGCTGTCAATATTCTCCTTGAAGAGCCTCCTTGACTTGATTTTGTGAGCCCTGCACCAAAGAAATTAATTCATTAAGAACTTGATTGTAATCTATTGACGAACCTGAGTTTGGTTGGGCATATTGTGTATGAAAGTGCATTTTGAGGCTATTTGGAGCAGTTTTGGGTATAGATTGGATAGCTTAACTATGGAGCAATGTGGATGGACGAAATTGAATTCAAGAGATGCTAGGAAAGGCTAAAAATCTGGAGAAAGAAGTCCAGATGCAAAGAAGATAAGGAAAGAGCAAGAAATAAGAAACCTTATCCAAATTTCCTTATCTTATCCACATCTTATCCAACCTTATCTTATCTTATCCTATCCTAATCTTTTCCTACCTTAATTCCAACTTCAAAGAGGACTCATTTTCACATTAAATCACCTAAATATCAAGTTTTAAAAGCCCTATTTTCGTGCATTAAGTTTATGCCACATGTAACCCTTCTAGAAGTTCTAGAATCTACCACAAGGACCATTCCTTGTCCTCCTTGGAATCTGATTGAAAGTGTCATTGTTTTTTGGTGATTTGGAGTCCTAATTTCTCTCCTTTTCAACCCAAATTCGTGCGTCCCCTTCACCCTATAAATACTTGATGCCACAACACTCAAAAACCACCACCCTCTACCACAAATTCACACCACACCATCCACCACACTTCAAGAGCTTAAATTCACATAAATCCCCATTGTTGGCAGCAAGGAAGGAAGGAGGAGCCGCCTGGAGTGTTTGGTTGGGCATATTGTATATGAGGTTGTGGTGGCTGCATAGGCGTTGAATAGAACTCCTCATATGGCTGCCAATATCATTTGTGTTCGACTTGTTGAAATTCCCACTACATAGAGTTTGTATGATCACTCCAATCTCTTTGTGCACATTGATTTGCTTGATATTCTTGCCTATAAGAACCACCAAATGTAGGGACACTTTGCATTGTAGACCCTTCGGCATACTGTGATAACTGACACGTAAGATTCGTTATTTGAGCTTGAAGATTAGCAATTTCCATGTCTTGCTTCTCTAGTACCTGAAATCAAAGAAATAAAATTAAATCAAATATCAAAAAAAAAATAAACAAACAAACTGAGGGATTAGCAATTTTACTAATCCCCGGCAATGGCGTCAAAATTTGATGTGAAATATTCTAACATTCAAATTAAAACCCTATGATTGTAGTATATGAAAGTAGGGATCGTTTTAGGCCGGGGATTAGAAGGGATGCTAATCTACTCTAAACTGACTTAAAAACACAAAACTAGACTTATATGACTCAAAACAAACTAAAAAGACTCAAAACACACAAACTAAGTTAAATTGACTCGAAACGGACTCTAAGAAGTTATTTGGACGAATTTTAGACTATTAAGACTCAAAACACTAAATTGGACAGATTTAAACATGTTTCTAACTAATCTAACACATTTAATTAAAGGGGAGATTGATTTGGACGAAATTAAAGTAAAAACAAACAGATTTAAAGACTTAAACAACTTGGACGAAATTGGGGAAAAATATGGGTGATAAGCTAGCTAGAGGGTCATTCTCCACACATGGCACTTGTGTACAAATTAATTTCCAGTTGCTTTTCCAATAAACCATGAACCTCAACACCCCAGATTAACCGTGAACAGCACTAATTAACCCTCAGATTTTCCTTAAGTCATTGAATTGAATGGAATACGCATCGGCAACCAAATTATTCTTCAATAGTTCCCTACATGAACAACATAATAGAGATACAATCAAAGATCATTAGGCTTTGTGAAAATCATAAGCATTGATAAGACATTCGTAACTATGAACAGCATGATACTCCTGCCAGGAATTTACTTAACACGATTGTGACTAGCAACCTCCACTACTTATAAATATAAGTTCATAACGATTAGGTGAAACTCCCTTATAGTTTAGCATCAAATTCATGCATGCAAACTAAACGGGCTCTCTTAATCAACAAACAAGAATAAATTCTTAATCAAGTAATTAAGTAAATTATATTCACGATTTATGAAATCACAACTGAAAGTAATCAATTAATATTGCAAATATAATCATGGTTTCAAAGTCTCCTCTATCTAAAACAAGTTTAGCTCCTCATGTTCGCAAAACAAAGATAATTAATCTTAAACATTAAAAACAAAGATAGAATACACCTAGAAACATTCCAGGCGGCTCCTCCTTCCTTCCTTGCTGCCAACAATGGGGATTTGTGTGAATTTAGGATCTTGAGGTGTGGTGGATGGTGTGGTGTGAATTTATGGTAAAGGGTGGTGGTTTTTGAGTGTTGTGGCATTAAGTATTTATAGGGTGAAGGGGAGGCACGAATTTGGGCTGAAAAGGAGAGGAATTAGGACTCCAAATCACCAAAGAACAATGACACTTTCAATCAGATTCCAAGGAGGACAAGGAATGATCCTTGTGGCAGATTCTAGAACTTCTAGAAGGGTTACATGTGGCATAAACTTAATGCACGAAAATAGGGCTTCTAGAACTTGATATTTAGGTGATTTAATGTGAAAAGGAGTCCTCTTTGAAGTTGGAATTAAGGTAGGAAAAGATTAGGATAGGATAAGATAAGATAAGGTTGGATAAAGTGTGGATAAGATAAGGAAATTTGGATAAGATTCCTTATTTCTTGCTCTTTCCTTATCTTCTTTGCATTTGGACTTCTTTCTCCAGATTTTTAGCCTTTCCTAGCATCTCTTGATTTCAATTTTGTCAATCCACGTTGCTCCATAGTTAAGCTATCTAATCCATGCCCAAAACTGCTCCAAATAGCCTCAAAATGCACTTTCTTGGTCCTTTTGCCATTAGGACCTAAAAACATACGAAAATAGCTTAAAAGACTAAAATAGATAATAATTAAGTAACTAAATGCAAGGAAACAACATAACTGAGTTGCATAAATATGCTCCTATCAATGTCATGATAAAGTTTGTTCTTTTACCACTTCTGCTAAAAGCTTAAACTGTTGGGATGTGGGGCAGTAATTATGTTCATTCTATTGTACAGCTACATTTTGAAAGCATTGACATTTGGGCTGGTTAAAAAGTTAGTTTTAAACAATTTGAACCGTATATAAACTTCAGGCTGTGAAATCCAACACTCCTACTTCGGTCTTTTGTATGATCATTACTTCTAGTATTTTGCTTCAGTGTCCATTACTTCTTGTATTTTCTGTTGTAGTCGACCACGGAATTAAACTTTGTATTCAAGAACATTTTTTCTTTCCCATTCTTGATTATCAGTTTAAGGAGGACTGCAACACTCAGAAGAAAATTGCTTCCAAGCTGAAGTCATTCGCAGAAAGGTCTCTGTTGCAGGATGAAGACAAGATACGGCATGAACTCTTTGATCTTATACAGGTAGTTTTCCTATCAAAGAGTTTCACACTGTTAATTCTAGACTGATGTTCCTTTGATCTTATACAGGTAGCAAGTGCTAATAATATAAGGCCAGTGACTTACTATGTCAATGCTATGTCAGCATTATCAGTTAGGCTTGTTATTAGTCAGTTAAGTTGAGTTAACATAATTACATTGGATGAATGAACACAATTCTGATGTACTTCTCAGAACTTTTAGGGTCTGTAAGTGTTGCAAACCTGTTTCTAGAAAATGATTCTGCAAAATGAAAACAAGAAAACTGGATTCTTCTAGACATATGCTAGAAGCTTTTCTTGCGTTTCCCAAGTATTTTAAAGGGATTGCCACTGGTACTGCTGTTCGTTGGTTAATATTTTATGTAATTGTTATTGCAGAACATAGTTCTCATAAGAGATACAGAAAATCCAAGGAATTTCTATCCTCGTTTCAATCTTGAAGATACTCCAAGTTTTAATGATTTGGACGACCACAGGTACTTCGAAAGTTTCTGGTTTGGGAACATGAGATTAGGCTTATTTGGTCATATTATCTTGATGGAGAAGAATTTGGTAGGAGAACCATTTTTTAAAATCAAGTCATTTGGTTTTCTTCTGCTCATTGTTACAAAAGAGTTCCCCCCTCTCACCTCTTTTGGTTTGTGCTGATTTACTTCCATCATATATATTTTCTTATCAGTTTTTGTGTGATACAGCAAAAACGTATTGAAAAGATTATACTATGATTACTACTTCCACCGGCAAGAAAATCTGTGGCGGGAGAATGCTTTGAAAACGTTACCTGCTCTGCTTAACTCATCAGATATGCTCGCCTGTGGGGAAGATCTGGGGCTTATTCCTTCTTGTGTTCATCCTGTATGTTTGCTCAGCCCTTACCAACCCACACAACCACTATAAACTTCAGCCTGATTTCGATGGTTGTTGGCCCTCTTTGTTTTTATTGATTTCTTATTTTGTGATTGGTTTTTGGATGCAGGTGATGCAAGAACTAGGATTAATAGGTTTACGCATTCAGCGCATGCCCAGTGAACCTGATTTGGAGTTTGGTATTCCTTCTCAATATGGCTATATGACGGTAAGATAATGAGTCATATTTATCGCCTTCATAATGATGGAGATCATGCTTCAACGATTTGCTTCCTAAGGATTAAGTTCCTAGAAATAGATTAATTTCCTCATCTTCTTAGAGAAAGATGCCACTCAGAAAATCATCTCTTGAAAGAGTGAATGGGGAACAAATTAACTTGATCCTGTTGTAGTTTTTGTAAAAAATTTAAACCTATAGAAAGCTTGGAATTTCTGTTATTTCTGTATAAAGCATAAGTTTATTGAGATTTTGTATAAAGAAAATTTGGTCACATGGCTCAAGATCTCAACTTTGATTGAAATGTTGTTAATTCATATAACTGCATTTAGGTATGTGCTCCGTCATGCCATGACTGCTCAACCTTGCGTGCTTGGTGGGAAGAAGATGATGAAAGAAGGCAGCGATATTTTGAGAATGTGGTGGGGTCTGACATGTCACCACCTGCTCGATGTGTTCCAGAGATTGCACATTTCATCTTAAGGCAACATGTTGAAGCTCCATCAATGTGGGCCATTTTTCCGCTTCAGGTACTGTGCTGGACATTTTATTGTGTCTTTTGTGTGTTCTCAATTGGAGTTTGATACACCTTCGAAATTACAACGCAAGAAATTTTGAAATTTTGGCTACTCCATAACAAGTCATACTATATAATACTACAGTATACAATGGTATGTTAATTCTTTTGGATCCTTCCTCATGAGTTCTGCACTCGATAGGATTTGTTAGCGTTGAAAGAAGAATACACAACACGCCCTGCAAAAGAGGAGACGATCAATGACCCCACAAATCCCAAACACTATTGGAGATACCGTATGTGAAGATATGTTTTCAAGATTCAATTTGCCACTAAGTTGGCCTTGCCTTTTCTTTTCGATGTTTATATTTTGGATGTTCACTTGTTTCAGAGATGACAAAATGCATCTTGAATTTATGGTTTCAATTCCGTATATTGCGTTCTCAGGTGTACATGTGACAATGGAGGCTTTGATCAAGGATAATGAACTCATATCGACCATCAAGGATCTTGTCCGTTCGAGTGGAAGATCATATCCGGCAGTACAAGCTGAACAACAACCTAGTCAGGAATCAGCAGCAGTTGCAGGTACAGAGAAGCAGAAAATGTCCAGCAGCAAAGATAAGGTTCACCCGGCAGCGTCATTGAACGGAGTTCCACAGAAGGAGATCGTGGCTGTTCGCTGATGGTGTTCGTGTAATGTGAAGGAGCTTAGTTAATAAGCAGAAAATAAGCCGACTGTCAACAAGAATCTGCATATTGTGTGCTTGTTGAAGTCTAGTTCTCTTTCCACGACCATCCAAAACCTTTTAACAATAAATAATGGAATAAAAAATAATGGCAGTACTAATGTGTTGAACTATCAATACCCTATGAAATAGATTGGCTGGCTGGCTTAACAATGCTCTCTATTTTGGCAGGTTGTCAATTTTTTTCTCTTTTTTTTTTTTGGGGGAGTTGTTATTGACACTTTAAAATGTTATTAAGCATCATTTTATATATAAAATTCTCTTGTATTTGGATAAATAATAACTATTTTGGAGTATCGATAATTGCCTTTTTTTTCTTTCCATATCACAAAAGTTACTTTCAATAACATAATGTATGTTGGGTGTTTTTATTGACACCTCACATGTTGAATACACTCCATTTAAAAATGTAATACTAAACAATTTGTGACTCTAATATGAAATGACCATTCGAACCCTCATAGCTGCTCTTACTCTCAATTGTAGAATAAAACCCTAAAAACACAAACAAGTTGATGAAAATATATCTTTTGATGAACGGAACAAAAAATCGAGTTCTGCTCCTCGTTCATTCATTGGTTTTCACATTCAAGAAATTATTTAAATAATGGAACAAAAATTTGACTTTTTGCAAAGCCATGCTCTAATTGGAATCCAAGAAATAGGAAGAAAACTAGAGAATGTTGAAAATTTAAGATGTAATTAAATGTAATATTCTCGTGGCTGTTTGATGATGAAGAAATTCAATGTTTTTTGGGTTGGTTGGAACTGACATGACCTTAGAGGAACAGTTCCTACCATTTGTCCATCAGGCTTCTTAGAATCCAACATGATTGTTCAAGAAAATTTAACGGATGTTTATAAATCAAACTGCAAGATGGAGATTTTATACAACTTAATTCATCTTTCTTGTCTTTAAAATGTGTATGAATTTAGGAAAATCTGATGGTTAATTTGTGCAGTTCACAGTTAATTTGGGGTATTGTCATTCATGGTTTATAGGAATAATAAATGGAGATCGATTTGTGTTGCATATTGTCGTGTGGAGAAGGACCCTCTAGCTAGCCTTTTACCCTCTTTATTCACCCCAATTTAGTATCAATCAGTTTGTTTTTTTGCAAGTTACTTAGTTTTAGTTTTAAATTTTATCCAAACCAAACCCCCGCCATTGTGTCGTGTTAGTTAGTTTTAAAATTCGTTCAAACCTGTCCCTCGTTAGTATTTTGAGTCAAGTCTAGAATTCATCCAAATCACCATTTAGTTCTTGTTTGAGTCAATTTGTTTGTTTTGCGTTGTTTTGAGTCATTAGAGTCTAGTTTTGTGTTTTTAAGTCTAATTTGTATTGATTAGCATCTCTTCTAATCCCCGGCCTAGAACGATCCCTACTTATGTATACTACAATTGTCTAAAAATGGTTTAATTTGTGTGTTAGTTTCTACCACATCAGCGATGTGAACATACACGTGAAGCCTGGCCTTTGCCCGGGCAAGTACAAACACCAATATAATTTGCATGATGAGCAGTAATAGTAAATATGATCATACTATGGAAACTTCGTAATTCACCACAATAAAATAATAATATTTGTAGTCGTAAGTATATTCATGGCATCACGTCAAAATATGTATAAACGTGCATCCCATAGAATTAATGAGAATTTCATAAATTCCGCCAATACGCTAATTCTTAAAATGTTAGTCTAATATAAGTGTAACATAGAAAATTCTTTATCAAATATATAAACGGAAACTAAATAAATATATAATATTTAAAAGCAAAGACCCATTGACAAATCATGTCGTCGGGTCGAACCCACTTCGTGGGCATTGAAGATCCTTGAAATGCATTTCACCTAGAAACGAAATCATTTACGTAAATATATAACGAACTAACATAAATATGCGTTTTCATACAAAGTATAGCTCATAAAGAAACTATTTTAAAACGGTCGAATTTCAGAAAACGGATGGCAAATTAGGATTTGGCACGTCGAGAAACCTAAAGAAGGACCTCGGGTTCCTCCATAAGCCGCCACAAGGTGGCTGCACTGTCAGCCACGCGCCGAGGACTGGGTGCCACCCATGCGCGTCCACGCACCTCGAGTACCAATGTACTCGCCTTCCTTGCAAAGGCCTGTGTTTTGCAGGTTGTAGGGCCATTTTCCCAAGCTCATTCTGAGCTCATCTCAACCAAAAATAGTGATTTAAAAGCCAGAGTGGAGTTAGGAATGCAGAGAATTGATTTATACCAATTTGAGGCCAACGAATGCCGGAGACGGCCAAAAATGATCTAAAAGGTGACTGGTCAGTCACAAAAAAACTAGGGAAAATTCCTCCCAGTGTGTGTTATGCATCAAATCATCCCCCAAACTTATTTTAAGGTTAAAAACACATTAGAGCTTCAAAATAAGAAGGATTCGAGAGTCTCGAGGCTCATTATGGTAAGAGAAATGAGTGAACAGTGATAAAAGTCACTGTGTAGTGTAAGGTTCAAGTTCGTGGTCTGAGCTTGTAGACCGAGGTCCTAATTTCTAGCTGAAATTTTGACGAACTTTGTTGAGGTGGTGAGTCCAGGTTGTGATGATGTTGGCCGCTGCACCTTCCTAGTTCTTCACCAAGAGAAGAAAGAGTTTGAGAGTTTAAGGGAGAGGTAGACGAAAGAAGATAGGGAGAAGAGAAAGAGAGCTGAGAGAGATAGGAGAGTTCGAGAGGGTCCCCAAATATGTGGGGAAGAACTACCACGTGGCCAGAGATGAGAGGAGAATTTGTGATGTGTGGACCCCACAGGCCAAAAATAAATTATTAAATAATAAATAATTATAAGAAATATATAAATAGTACCTTTTTTTTTTGTACAAAAGTATATTTCGGATTCATAGTTCCATAAAACCTCCATCGTAACTCCAAATTCGATTCCACTTACGGCTACGTTTTGTAGTGATAAGTGCTACAAGAATAAGCTAAAAGAATGTTTCGTACGTCTCACTATATGCTGGTCAACAAAAGTCAACATCCTCGCCTCTAGGGACATTTTCATCAATTCACTCTTTTAAAATTAATAAAATCATAAAATTAGGAATGGGTTGTTACAATCTACCTGCCTTAAAAATTAATAAAAAAAAAAAAAAAAATTTCCCCGAAATTTGAAATCACTTGTTATACATTAAATACTCAAGATAGAAAGAAAATATCTATAGAAACAATCAAGCTAGAGTGGTTGCATAAAAGAGAATGTCATTCCGTTGCGATTGGATTGCAATGATTCCTTTTTCGTGCATCCAAACTCAAACTTTCCTTCTCCTTCAATACAATACTAAAATATAAAATCCTTTATAAAAACATAAAGTCAAAAATAGACATATAATAACATAACATCAAAATACGTATATAATTAAATAAAGTTAACATAGTTGTACTGAAATTAAAACCCAACATAGAAAAATTTCACCTACGAACTCGTAACGTCATGTACTATGAGAATAAGTGTAGTGTCTTTGAGTCAAGCCCAAACAATATATAAATAAAATGTTAATGTAGACGGCCTACTTGCCCACTTGCTTAACGATTCCAACGAATAAGTTATCGATATTATGGTTTGCAACCTGCAATACTGACAACTCACTTATGTCTCGATAAGCAAATATTAAATTTCTGAGGGTGCAATATTACCATATTACCCTTCATTGGAAAATACATATAAATCAACTGACTACCCTCTTAAGTGACGCCGTCAACATTACATAATTTCTTATATTGTACTCTCAATGTGTGGAATACCTGTTCGCAATACTCATTTGTCAATCATATATTGTTCTTAAAATCTCTATACATCGGCTCAAATGGTATCATAGCCAAACCAGAATAATAACTATCGTTGTATACAACTTAAACAGAGATAGGCGTCTATCATAACCAGGCTAAAACTGCAAAACAGACAAAAGCAATATGTTCTCCAAGGTCCGGATATTTCATTTAGACTGGCCGTTAGTCTAAGGGTGAAATGTGGTATTGAATAACAATTTAGTATCCATGGCTTTCAAGAAGACTTCCCAAGACTTGGAAGTGAAGCACACGTCACGGTGAGATACAATAGTGACATGATGTAGTTGAACAATTTAGTTCACAACGCCTTAGCAAGCAAATTCATAGTGAATTTCTCTTGAATTTAGTTAAAAACTATGTTGAGAAGGCTAAAAGAACACTCGAGAATTTGAGGGTTAAAACAAGCCTATCAAATCTAGAATACAAAGTAACTGGAATGAATGCATGACATCTTGCTATAATGGTAGCTTCTGGAATATTTGATCACCAATGGTAAAGATTCATTTAGCAGAGTATTTGTTGGGTGATTGAGGAATGGTCACAGTGATCGAAACATCAGGAAATCTGAAAAATTCAAGAAAGAGAAATTTTACTAAGTGATATAAATGTAATCCCTCTAGACTAATGGAAGGTGAGCTGAATTGTCACGTCAGTCGATAATCATTGAAACATCCATCATAATATCCACATGTACAAGATACCTCATACTGGGAGCTTATGATATATTGTCCATCTTTGTTCGGATATGAAAAATGATTATAATCACTCGGACGATTTCTTGATGATTTGTAAGTACCGTTGTATCAATACTCGTGACATCTAGCAAAAATGGGATAGGATAGACTGAAGGTGTTCAAGGGTAGATATGTCTTTTGCTGTGGTAAACAATAACTACGTTTGCATAACCGGGGTGACACACAATGGTGCAATCGTAGGCATTGATTTGGTTCTTCCATCGCCATTGTCAGAAATTTAATTCCTTTCCAAATGAAGATGTATTTGAGAAGTTTATGAGGTTGGTAAGATTTGACACATTTCTCCATAGAGAAATGTCATCAAATCTTCAAGTGAATAAGGTTATCATTGATTCACGGTCGGCAGTAAGGTAATTCACTTCATGCAGTTCCAATCATGGGTAGACATAAACAATACTCCATCATGTTGCATCAGCACGCAACCATAATAGTCAGTGAGACATCACTGTAGAATTCAAATTATTGATGTCATCGTAAAGTGTAAGAACAATGCCCCAACTGAGACAACACTTCAGTTGTCAGAAATTTATTCACACTCAAAATTTTAATTTGAACTAACTTTCCTCGATCAACTTGTGAGGAGAAACGCTATAACTGCAAAATTGCTAATAAGCCGCCAATAGAATTTGACAAAACCAAGGATATCTCGTATTTTACAACACTTTGTAAGGATTTCAACTTTCTTCTGCTATAACGTTTTGGAAAAAAAGAAAGAATATC